GGCAAGGCGTCGGCATCGGCGTCGGCGCCGGCCCGCCGCGGGGGCGCGCGGCGCGCGGCCAAGCCACTGGCTGCCTCCAAGTGGAAGGCGGACTTTGACTTTGACTGGGCGCAGGCTGAGGAGGAGCCCAGCGACAGGAGCGTGACCCCCAGCGATGACGAGGACGCCCCACACAAGAGCGAGGAGCGGGAGGAGGAGGAGGAGGCGGTGCAGCCGGCCAAGAAGCCGCGCGGGCGCCCAAAGAAGGCCGCCGCCGCCGCCGCCACTGCCGCCCCGGTACCCCTGGCCAATGGCGTGGCCCCGGCCGCGGCCAAGGCGGCTGCGTCTAAGGGCAAGGGCGCCAGCGCAAGCGCCGCGGCCAAGGCCGCAACCCCAGCCAAGGTGGCGGCACCCACCCCCGTGCCTGCAAAGGGCGGGAGGGGCAGGCGCAGCAGCGTGGCCGCCGCCACTCCCAAGGAGGAGCCGGCGCCGGCGCCCGCGGCGAGCAAGGGGCGCAGCGGCGCCCAGCCCGCGGCGGCCGTCAAGGCGGCAAAGACAAAGCCATCGGCAGCGGCCAAAAAGGGGGCAAAAGCAACGCCGACAGCTGCGGCGGCAGCGGGCGGCCGCGGCAAGCGCGGCGCGGCGGCGGCGCCTGCGGCGAAGGCAGCGGCAGCCCCGCCGCCAGCGAAGTCCGGCCGGGGCAAGCGCGGAGCCGTGGCGCCGGCCGCGGCGGAGGCAGAGGCGCCGGCCGCGGCCAACTCCGGTCCCGCCAAGCGGGCGAGGCGGTGACGTCAGCGCGTTTTTTGGGGGTTGCAGCACCTGCACGGCAGCTGCCCGATGCGCCGTGCAGGTGGCGGGCCTCGGTTCACGAGCGCCACACAAACCCTTGACGTCGGCCGCGCGGCGATGATTTGGACATGACATGCTGAGCGGCTGCCCTGGGCCCGCAAAGCCCCGGCGCCCGACCAACCCACCACACCACCAAGTAGCCCCAGTTAGGGCATAATCTGCAGGCCGAGGGACTTGACTGAAGACATCCCCAAGACAGCAAGGGTCTCGCGCAACGCCATGCATTGACTGACCCCGCCGGGCAGCTGCAGACAGGCGCCTGGAGGAAATTGTCTCACGCAACGCCGGGCAGAGGGTGGTGCCCGCGTCCTCATTTTCGCGGCCCACCTGCTCACTTTGGCTGCCCTTGACTGATAGGACCGAACGACCACGTGCAGAATCGACGCCGGCCGCGGATATTGGGGGCCGACCCACTTTTGACGTACCCCGGCCCCACGCGGCCCGCACCGTGCCGGGCGGCAGCAGCCGCTGCAGTGGGCGGCTGACGGCGCGGCTGCGTTTGCACCGACACAGCGCGGCCCCCTCTTGTCCCGACCCACGTGACCACATGTGTGCGCACCAGCCCCACGCAACACCCCTTGACGTGACCCTCTTTGCCTTGTTGGGACGCCGGCGCAGTACCCATGGCGAATGGCGTTTTGCAGCCCTGGGGCGCCGCGCGGTCTGCACTAGAAGTTGTGTTGTCCTTGCGGTTGCTGCATTTGGCTGGTAAATCATAAAGCTGGGACGAGCTGCTGGTCGAGCATGGTGCCTCGCGGCGGCGCAGGATGGGCTCACAGGCAGGGTCGGGTTGACGCCGCACGCAAATACATGCAGCAGCAGCAGCAGCAGCAGCAGCAGCAGCAGCAGCAGCAGCAGCAGCAGCAGCAGCAGCAGCAGCAGCAGCAGCAGCAGCTACTACAGCAGCAGCAGCGAGTCTGGGCCTGCACCAACTTGCGTTGTGCGGGGCGCGCTCTCGTCAGGTGCACACCACCACGGCCGACAGTGAATGCTCCTGCAATTAGGGGCCTCTCTCTGCCTCTGCTCAGTGCTCTGCACGCCTGCGCGTGGGCCGTTCGCTTTGCTCGGCGGCACCAACGGCACCGCATGGACATGAGAGCAGGTTACGCTGGTGACGTGCGTGAGCCCAGAAGCAAACCGGCCCAGAGGTCATCGCAATCAACGTATCTCGCAGTTTATCCTTCAAGCTCTTGCTCTCGCCCAGCGCGTCTCAGATCTCCTATTTCGCGAGCTTCTTTCACGGCGTGGCACCGGCATGTGCACAGAAACCACGTTCTGCGCATAGAAACGACGTGACACAGGCGTGCTCACAGACAATTCAATCTCACAGGCCATCCCAGCACGCCCGCGGCGCTGTCGCACGCCGACATGCAGACGCGCCGCCGCGCGGTCGCGGCGGGCGCGTCCGCAGCGCCGCCGCTGCCGCAAGAGCTGCAGTCCCTCGTCCTGTCCGCGCTCCTGCGCGCCCTCGAGGCGCCCGACGAGGCCGAGTATGCTCTCTACCCCCACCGCTCCTCGTTCACGTGGCTCTCCTCCTCGCTGCGCCGCGTGTGCACCGCCTGGCGCGCCGCCGCCGACGCGCACCCGTCGTACGCGCGCCGCGCGCGCCTCGACCGCCTGCAGTCCCTGGTGCTCGCGAACGACGGGGCCCACCTGCTGAGCGGCGCGCGGGCGCCCGCGCAGCGCCGCGCGCGCGCCGCGTGTGCGCGGCGGCTCGCGGCGCGCGTAGAGCTCGCCCTTCCCGCAGCAGACGCCACCACCTCCGGCGCCGGGAGCGGCGCCGGCGCGGCGGCACCCTGGAAGACGGTCCCTGCGTCCGTCGTCCGCCGCATGACACCTGGCGAGCTCCGCGGTCTGCCCCACTCCGCGCTGCTGCTGGCGGTGCCCGCCGGTGAGCTGGCGTGCCCGGCGGCGCTGGCGGCGCTGTTGCGGGATGTGGCGCTCCTCGACGCGCGGTGCGGCGCGCCGCTCGTCATCAAGCTCACGGGCGGCGCGGCGGCCGCGGCAGCAGCAGGGTCCGCGGCGGCCGCGGCGACAGTGGCAGACGCAGCAGCCGGAGCAGCGGGAGTTGCAGCGACGGCTGCGGATGCAGCGGCGGCAGGGGGAGTCGCAGCAGCAGGGCCAGCAGCATCGGCAGCGGCAGCAGCAGAAGGAATTCCAGCGGCAGGAGCAGGGGCAGCAGCAGTAGTAGCAGCGGGAGGCGGCGCAGGCGGCGGCAGCAGCGGCGTCGGCGCGGCGGGCGCCGGCGCGCCCCGGACCCCACTTCCAGCGGCGGCGGGCCTCTCTTTGGAGGCGGCGGCGGAGGTGTACCGCTCCCTGCCGGCGGTGGCTGCGGCGGTCAATATGGAGGGGGCGCCCGCGGGCGGCGCGCTGTACTTCGTTCCAACAAAGCATGGCTTCCGGCGGAGCCGGCCGCCCGGCGCGGCCGCCGCGGCGCGCTGAGGCGCTGCTTGGGAGGGGCGCGCCGCCGCCTGGCGGGCGCGGCGCAGGGCAGCTGCGGCCGGGCCGCCGCGAGGGGCCTGGCGGGCCCGCCGACTTTTCAGGTGCCTGTCTTTGCTTGCGAAGCGTGTGCACACGGAGCGTTTTGTCCGGCTGCGGCTGAGCAGTCCTCATCCATGCAACCGCCCGCCCCTTGCCCCCAAGCGCTGCGCGGTGACGAGCTGCCCGGGTTACACGGCATGTAGGGGCAGCGCGCCCGCCAGCGCCACTGCTGAGGCAGGGGGCATGTGCAGACAGGCAGTGTCAGATGAAAGGAATCAGAGCGACGCGCGGCCGCTGGAACCGCCCCTGCGCTGCGACGGGGCAATGGGGCCACTCAGGGGAAGGCGGGGAGGCAGGGAGTCCGGGCCAGTAGGAAGCAAGTCCGGACTGGAGGGCATGAAGTGCGGAACTGCCGCGCGGCAGGGGCAGGGGCAAAGGGGGCGGCGCGCCTTCCAGCGGGGCCTGAGGGCGCGCCTTGCGCCTGGGATACAGCAGGGCTCGGCGCGTGGGCCCAGAGGAGGGGGTGCGTGCGAACGAAGGACTGCCCCGCCAAGGCACGGGGGGAAAAGGGGCAACGACATGCTACAAAGCCTGGAGGGAAAAGCGCGGGGCGAGAGACAGCTGCAGGAGCGCGGCGCGCGCCGCGCCCGGGCGCCCGAGAGGGTGACACTCGGCCGGAGCGCCGGCGCACCCCTGGACGCGCGGGGTCACGCGAGGGCAGGGGCCGCAGCTTCGAAGCGCGTCGGTCAGTCGCCGCCGCCGCCGCTGTCGCCAGACCCCTCATCCGCCTCCTCCCCCTCCTCCTCCCCCTCC